TTCCTTTCTGATTTGGCCCGGCTGGATGTGAAGTTATCCAGCAGACATGCTGCGGCCACGCATCCACATATGTGCGCGCACGCAATCCTGGTGTCTGGGTGTTCCCCGCAAACGTGCCTCCTTCTCTCTGGTTTTTATCTTCTTTCGAAGTGAACCGTAGGGTGAGCTGGATGGCTCGTAGGTCATTCAGGTCTTGAAAGCCACCCTTTGGGTTTGAGTAGCCAGACCGTGCACTGCCATAAAGAATTGATCCTCTTAGGGAAAGGTCATGTGTGATTAAATCCTATGCACTGGCTGCTTTAATATATGCACGGTGCATATATTTCCTCTGTGTTCTATATATTGTTTAGCATGCATAGGTACAGTATGTCATACTTAGTTTAGGAGATAAGTCTGTATCTGTATCTAGGTTTTCAGGTGAAAATGCAACTCCCTCAGTGTCTAAGTCCAGGAGACTTAGAGGGGATTGTCTGTGTTACGTAGAGTCTTGCGAGCATAGACTAAAACCAAACGCCAAACAAATAACAAATTTGATATTTTAATGTTTTCTGTGCATTCTCTTTAATTCCTAATGGAATTTCAAATCTGGGGAGGCTTTAGGAAAATTAGTTGCCTGCACCATAGTAGCATTAAAAACAGTTTCAATGTGCCCTGTCTTGTGAAATCCGGAATATTTATGGCATGGTTGAGATGATGATACATTGTATTAGTGTCCTAAGACGCGCTAAGACTAAGCTTTAAAGGTGGGTTACGTGGTTGTCCTTGGCTGATGCATTATCTAAAGACATGGGCATCACAGACACTTCTTATATCTTGATGTAACCATTTAGCAAATACTGTCAGGTAAGAATTAGACAAAGATTTCTTAAATTTTGTGTCTAATTTGGTAAACATGGGACCAAATCTTATGGTCTTTCCGCAAGAAAAAAAATTGATTTCCTTGGGCGTGCTACTGGAGTAAGAACTACTATGATGTTGAGAGATTATATATTTTTTTTTTTTAATTAAAAACCAAGCAAATAAATATCACTGTTCTGAATGCAGGTACGTATAAAATTGCACCCACAGTGAACTGAGTTATTGTCTCTAATGATTCAGATGTTTACAAGTTGGAATCAGAAACTTGCCAGCAAGAGAAATCTATGACTTTTGGCAGTAATGGCTCTTCATTTTTTTAAGTACTTCCATTCAAGTAAATACATAGGTTCCAAACTTTCCAAAAAGATTATTTTAAAAAAATATGAATACACCCCCCCCAAATTATAATTTTGTCGATTTTTATACACTCAGTGAACAGTCTGTCCACCAAACATTTAACTCTGTTCTTTTTATAAAGTATTCATTAAAAGAAGGAAGACTACTTAACAAAAGTTTCTTAGGTATTTATTAATTTATCTGACTATAGTTATTACATGTCAACATTTTAAAGAGTATTTGGATGCATTTAACTAGTTCATTGTTTTTATTAAACACTGAAATCCTGTTAAATGCTTAAATAGAGAATCTGGAGCAGTAATACACAAGAAACTCATTCTTAATAGGATTATTCTTACACTGTCATATTTCAATGAAGGCAACTTAAAATAAATGTTGTTTTTTTCACTATTTAGAAACATAAATGAAGAAAAAGAAATTAAGGCAGCTTTGCTTGACTTGTAAAAGCAAAGTGCCTAAGACTCCTATCCTTCATCTAGAGCTGCAGAATCCCAGGTCTTGTGTTACAACTTTGACTATTAAATGGTCTTTTCCATGGTATTTACTTCTTGGTCCGTGGGCCAGATCTGGCATGTAGAATGATGTCATCTGGCCCATGGGGCTCCCATGGGTCTGGATATTTGGCGTGGGAGTGCAGTGGCCCCATCTGGGCTGGCCCTATGTGGAGGGACGAGACCCTGGCCAGGTGAGTCCCATGCAGCCAGATGGTACCCTGGCTGGGCTGTTCTCACACAGCTGGATCAGAGCTGGCCCCACATGGCTAGAACAGGTCCTGGCCCAGGCCGGCCTCATGCAGATGGATTGGGCCCTGTCTGGGCTGTTCTTCCCCCCCCCCCCATGGTTGGATTAGGCCTCCCATTGGCCAGGGATTGACCACCACCAGGACCAGCTGCCGGATTGGGCCCAGAGACCAGATCTGGCCCACAGACTGACTTGGCACCATGCATCTGGTCCACAGGGTGAAAAGGTTGGGCACCACTTGTCTTTTCATAGGTCATCAGTCATCTATATCTTCTTGAGATGAACAGCTAAATAGCCCCAGAAATAGTAACAGAAATTTTTGCATTTTATTACTAAACACAGATGTAGATAATCAGCACTCCTTGGTATTTGACAAAGAACCTCTTAAACTTGTTTACCAGTATAAAGTGAGATATTTCTGAAGATTAAAAAAAAAAGAGTCATAAGCAATTTTTATCTGGGGAAGAAGTATTTTTAGCTCATGCATGTAGGTTTTATATTTCATTATTTCATATAGCTGCACAAAGAATAGTTACTTTATCAATCCAGCTCTTAAAATTTATTGACTGTGAAGCTAGTTAAATGTTTTAGTTTTCAAAGATCGCAATTAGATAACACATGACAAGGGATGTCCTATTATAACAAGCATGTCAGGCGTTCTGTGTAAATCCTAGGTAGGCACTGTTACATAACTCTTAGTGGTGGACTTGATGAGGTGAGAATTCTAGCAGTATTACACAGATTGCCCTATTATGGACACCTGTTGGAAAGGTTGTTGTTGTTGTTTTTTTTTTTTAAATAATATACATATTGTTGATTTTAAACACTCTGCTAGGGAGTTATTGGAAGATGAAAAAGGACTTCAGTTACTTCATGTTCTGCCAGTTGTATGGCGTTTTCAAGACTGTATTCAATTGATTTGATTATGGCACTTATGCACAATGGTACCCGAGCAGCAGATTTGTTTTCAAGGCTTAATAAAATGTTAATTTTTGTGAACTCTGGGAAAAGAGAATCCCATATATTGGTCTGAAGAGTGATATTGTACTTGTCTAGTGAAGCAGTGTTTTTTCCATTTACCTAAATTTTGTCTTTAAATAGAAACCTTCTGATGAAAGGGGGATAAGAACTGCTTACAACTATTGGACTGCTTGTTTTCAGCTATTGGTGTTCCCAGCATATAAAAATGTGACTTTTAAATGTGCTTGATTTTGCAGGTGCATGTGGCTAATTCCATTGACATAAGTAGGATTATTTGTATGTCTGAAGCCATGTACATAATTAAATGTATTGTGGACTGAGAGGCAAGTGAATTTAGTGCTGGAGGAACGGTGCTAGCTTGCCAAATTTGTGTGGAAAAATCCTTCATGTTCCCAGAAAAAGGTACAACACACATGTCGGCTAGGCCATGGTCTCCACATGGGTCTGCTTCTAAGATTTTCCCCTCCATAAGAGATGCTAATTTGTTACTTAAATGTCCCACCAGGGGAACTGGTGTCATGGTAGTTCTTAGGTTAGAGATACCTGTCCAGTAGAAGGTGGGCTGAGAGTACAAGCTCATTCCACATAGGGCACAGAACAGCAGTCTGATGTTAACACTTTTTGGTCGCTATTGATACTGGCAACATTTGAATCGGTGACCTAGAAGCAAAAGGCTCTGTATCCCATAGCCAGTCTTCTCACCCTGTGTCAGTATTGCATTACTGTCTCAAAAATACTGTTAAAAAGTATAATTATCCATTTTTTTAAAAGCA